AGTGTTAATAAATTACATTGTTAATCACATATCTGAAGTCTGCGTTTCCCTGCGTCAGTCACACACCTCTGGTCACACCTGGGAGCCCTGACATTACACCAAGGCCAATCCTGACCAGAAGTGGCTGCACAGGGAAGCCATCTTGGCTTGTTGATGGGAAGGATGGATCTGGATGAGGTTGCGTATTTATATCTGCTAGTGTTTGATGACAGGGAGTATGCTTATCAAACTCTGAAGGAGTATACCCGGGATGAACTGCTAGAATGTATACGGCTCGCTCATGTTCTAGTAGATCAGGGCACAGAGTTCTCTGAGGTGCAGCCTTTGATTGAGGTTTGTGCAGAGTTGGTTTCATCTGGTTCCCCCGAATGCAGGGATGAATTTTTGCCACCATTTAGTGCAGACCAGGTAGAGTCCCTGGTGTGGTTATTAGAGGATGATGTGGGTTACTTTCTGGAGCGTTATTCCACATGTTCACCACAGACACTAAGAGTTTGTATAAACGCAGTACAGTCATTGACCAGACAGGCTTTGTGTAAGCTCAGCTTTGTTCAACCCATACTGCAGACATGGACAGACTTGTTGCACCCAGCCTCAGTCAGCTTACAAAAACCCAGTCCTGCTTCTAACTCTACTCCTGTATTCCCACCAGCTCCTCCAGTTACAGCCCAGTATACTTGGCTATCTACCGCATGTCAGTCCCCTGTTCCCACTCGCTGCACCTATCCTGCCTTTAACCCTGTAAAAAAGCCCTCTGTAGCAACTGCTCCCTCTCCTTTTTTTTTTTTTCCATTTAAATATTTATTCATTTTTCCATTTTAAATACATTTCATCAACACAATGTAGATATATATATAATAAAAGAAAAATGTTCTATAATATTATAATATCCAACATTTCTACTTTATATTACTCTATACAACATTTCCCTCCCGGCACCGCCCCCACCCCAAAATCCCCTCTGCCTATCCTACCTTTTCTCTGCATCTTCTTACATCAGCAAGTGAAGTTTTTCTGTTGTTATCTTTTATTCTTTCCTATACTTCCTATATAATCTGGCTTTTTCCCCCAGTTCTCCTCCCATTTCCCATAATAGGCCTCCATCCTATCTTCTTGGATATGACACAACCTTTCCATCTTTTTGATCTGCTCAACTCTTTCAATCCAGTCCTCTTCCTTCGGTATCTCTGTTTGCCGCCAGAACTTGGGTATCAGAGCTTTTGCAGCATTTATATAGTACCATATCCCTGATTTTTTATATTTATTTACTGTTATATCCATGTTATGCAAAATACATACTTCTGGATCTAGCTCTATATCTATTTCTGTCAATTTTCCTATCAAGTGGATTACTGTTTTCCAGAATATCTGGATTTTAGGGCATCCCCACCATATATGGTATACAGTGCCTACCTCTCCACATCCCCTCCAACACAGTGGTGAACTCTGCCCACATATCTTATTTTCTACATTTGGTGTGATGTGCCCATCTTGTCAAACACTTATAGTTCATCTCCACTTCTCTCATAGAGACGTTCTCGTGAATTAATCTATACATTCTCCTCTGCTTTTCCTCATCTATCACAACTCCCATATCCATTTCCCATTTTGTTATATATGTTGGCTTTGTGTTTGTGTCTAATTCAGTGAGTATTTTGTAAACTTTAGTAATCCCGTGCTTCCCATCACCTTGTGTTCCCAATACCTTTTCGAACAGATTCCAATTTTCTTTTGTCCTTAAAGGTTTTGGCAAACTTCCAACAAAACACCTCAATTGAAAATACCGCAATTCATCTAGTTTAGTGAAGATCTCGCCCTCTTTTTTCTTCAAATCACCAAGTGATCCTATTTCATCTCCCACCAGAATATCTCTCAATTGCACCCTATCTTTTTTAAACCACCTCCCTCCTATTTCTTCTCTGCCTGCAACTGCTCCCTCTCCTGTTCCATCCTCCAGTTCTTCTCTGTCTCCAGCTGCTCCATTCGTTTGCAGACCTGCGTTTACTTGCAGTGCTCCAGTAGTTAAAACCAGAAAAAAGCGAAAATTCTTTCCAACCAATACCATCCTGCCAGTATCCAAACCGGTGAGCCTGCCTTCCGTGACTCAGCCTGAAGCCTCTACTCAGCCTGAAGCCTCTACTCAGCCTGATGCCTGTACTCAGCCTGATGCCTGTACTCGGCCTGATGCCTGTACGCCGCCTGATGCCTCTCTTCAGCCTGAAGCCTCTACTCGGCCTGAAGCCTCTACTCAGCCTGATGCCTCTCCTCGGCCTGATGCCTGTACTCGGCCTGATGCCTGTTCGCAGCCTGATGCCTCTCTTCAGCCTGATGCCTGTATGCAGCCTGATGCCTCTCTTCAGCCTGATGCCGGTACGCAGCCTGATGCCTCTCTTCAGCCTGATGCCTGTATGCAGCCTGATGCCTCTACTCGGCCTGATGCCTCTACTCGGCCTGATGCCTCTATCCTCTACTCGCCTGAAGCCTCTACTCGGCCTGAAGCCTCTACTCAGCTGGACGCCGGCATTCAGCCTGATGCCTCTACCCAGCATGATGAACTGATCCAGCCTGACGATCCTATTAGGCCAGTTGACTCGATGCCCGCTGTTGATCCAGATGATCCGGTACCTGATCCGGTGCCCGCTGTCGTGCCAATTGACTCAGAGCCCGCTGTCGTACCTGGTGACTCGGTGCCCACTGCCTTGCCAGATGACGCGGTGCCCGCTGGCGAGCCAAATGACCTGATGCCTGGTGACCCAGTGCCCGCTGTCATACCTGGTGACCCGATGCCCGCTGTCGAGCCAGACGATCCAATGCCTGGTGACCCGGTGCCCACTGCCTTGCCAGATGACGCGGTGCCCGCTGGCAAGCCAAATGACCTGATGCCTGGTGACCCAGTGCCCGCTGTCATACCTGGTGACCCGATGCCTGCTGTCGAGCCAAATGACCTGATGCCTGGTGACCCGATGCCCGCTGTCCAGCCAGACGATTCAATGTCTGCCCCAGTGCCCCGCGTCATGCCAGTTGACTCGGAACTCACTGCCTTGCCAGATGACGCGTTGCTCGCTGTCAAGCCAAATGACTTGATGCCTGGTGACCCGATGCCCGCTGTCCAGTCAGACGATCCAATGTCTGACCCAGTGCCTGCGGTCATACCAGTTGACTCGGAGCCCACTGCCTTGCCAGATGAGCGGTGCCCGCGGTCGAGCCAAATGACCTGATGCCTGGTGACCCGATGCCCGCTGTCCAGCCAGACAATCCAATGTCTGACCTAGTGCCAGCGGTCATGCCCAGTTGACTCGGAGCCCACTGTCGTGCCTGGTGACTCGGTGCCCGCTGCTCCACCTGGGGGCCCGAGACCTGTCGCTCCGCCTGGGGGTCCAGCGCCCGCCGCTCCACCTGGGGTCCGGCGCCCGCCGCCCCGCCTGGGGGCCCGAGACCTGTCGCTCCGCCTGAGGGCCTGAGACCTGTCGCACCGCCTGGGGGTCCGGCGCCCGCCGCTCCGCCTGAGGGCCCGAGACCTGTCGCTCCACCTGGGGGTCCGGCGCCCGCCGCTCCGCCTGAGGGCCCGAGACCTGTCGCTCCACCTGGGGGTCCGGTGCCCGCCGCTCCGCCTGAGGGCCCGAGACCTGTCGCTCCACCTGGGGGTCCGGCGCCCGCCGCTCTGCCTGAGGGCCCGAGACCTGTCGCTCCACCTGGGGGTCCGGCGCCCGCCGCTCCGCCTGGGGGCCCGAGACCTGTCGCTCCGCCTGGGGGCCCGAGACCTGTCGCTCCACCTGGGGGTCCGGCGCCTGCCGCTCCGCCTGAGGGCCCGAGACCTGTCGCTCCACCCGGGGGTCCGGCGCCCGCCGCTCCGCCTGAGGGCCCGAGACCTGTAGTTCCGCCTGGGGTCCGGCGCCCGCCGCTCCACCTGGGGTCCGGCGCCCGCCGCCCCGCCTGGGGGCCCGATGCCTGTCACCCTGCCTGGGGGCCCGATGCCTGTCGCTCCACCTGGGGGTCCGGCGCCCACCGCTCCGCCTGAGGGCACGAGACCTGTCGCTCCACCCGGGGGTCCGGCGCCTGCCGCTCCGCCTGGGGGCCCGATGCCTGTCGCCCCGCCTGGGGGCCCGATGCCTGTCGCCCCGCCTGGGGGCCCGATGCCTGTTGCCCGCCCGGGGGTCCGATGCCTGTCGCCCCGCCTGGGGGCCCGAGGCCTGTCGCTCCATCTGGGGGTCCGGCACCCGCCCGCTCCGCCTGAGGGCCCGAGACCTGTAGTTCCGCCTGGGGGCCCGATGCCTGTCGCCCCGCCTGGGGGCCCGATGCCTGTCGCCCCCCCGCCCGGGGGCCCGATGCCTGACGTCCCGCCCGGGGCCCGGTGCCTGCCGCTCCGCCCGGGGCCCGGTGCCTGCCGCTCCCGCCCGGTGGCCCGCTGCCTGCCGCTTCGCCTGGTAGCCCGATGTGCCTCTGCCTGGGGTCCTGCCCGATGTGCCTCTGCCCGGAGTCCTGCCCGATGTGCCTCTGCCCGGAGTCCTGCCCGATGTGCCTCTGCCCCGGAGTCCAGCCCGATGTGCCCTGCTGGAGTCCCGGTGTGCCTCTGCCGAGTCCAGCCCGATGTGCCTCTGCCCGGAGTCCAGCCCGATGTGCCTCTGCCCGAGTCCAGCCCGATGTGCCTCTGCCCGGAGTCCAGCCCGATGTGCCTCTGCCCGGAGTCCAGCCCGATGTGCCTCTGCCCGGAGTCCAGCCCGATGTGCCTCTGCCCGGAGTCCAGCCCGATGTGCCTCTGCCCGGTGTGGCTTTGCCCGGTGTGCCTCTGCCCGGAGTCCAGCCCGATGTGCCTCTGCCCGGTGTACCGCTGCCCGGAGTCCTGCCCGGTGTGCCAGTCTTTGATATCCCGCCAGTTACCAGACCCGGGCGGTGGAACATTTTTCCCAGCTAGGACTGTTTGGAGCGTCCTGAGGCCGCTCCTTGAGGGGGGGGGTACTGTCAGGAATGGACTGGCCAGCAATGGTGGGACTCACCTGCCTTTTGATCTGCAGTACCAGGGCTGGCCAGCGGGTGCTCCCAGCAATCAGAGACTCAACCTTTCAGCCAGCTAACACTGGAACTGATGATACTGGTGTATTTAAGGGATGGCCAGACTTGCAGACTCTACCTTGGTGTTGTGTTTGTCCTGGGCCCTGTATCTGTCCTGCATCCTGTTTCTGTTCCTTTGCTATCTGTTCTGATCCCTGGCTTGTGACCCTGACCATCCCTCTGCCTGACCCTCTGTACCACGCTGCTTGCTACCTGTTCTAATCCCTGGCTTGTGACCCTGACCATCCCTCTGCCTGACCCTCTGTACTACGCTGCTTGCTACCTGCTGAACCTGGCCTGTGACCCCGACCATTCTCCGCTTGCTCCCCCTGTACCTACCTGCCCAATTGATATTGACTCGGCCTGCCTGACGACGCTTGCTTGTATTACTGTTATCTGTGGGTGGTTGGTTCCTGCTTCAGTCACACACCTCTGGTCACACCTGGGAGCCCTGACACTAATATTGGACGCTCACAATATGTTTTTTTCCATAAATGACTCATCTGAAACATCGATACACACACTATGGTCCACATATAAGGCATACATGAGAGGTATCCTTATACAATTAAATTCCCGAATCTCCAAACAGAGAAACCAACAAATCGACAAAATCCTCCTCTCCATTAAAACAAAAGAAGAATTAAACAAAAAATCCCCAAACTCCGCAACATCTGCCCAACTCACCGCTGACAGAAACAAACTTAGAACCCTCCTGCTCTACAAATCCTCAACCTTCAAAAACAAAAACTACATTCTACTCCCTTAGCAACAAAGCCAACTCCTTACTAATCAGAATGATTTAAACAACAACAACTAAGAAATAAAATATCTTCAGTTTATCATCCATCCTCACGATCCCTAACCACAAACCCGCAGGATATAGCTAATGCCTTCTCTACCTATTACTAACAACTATACAACCTTAAAGTCTACCCCAACACCATTCAACCAACACCTACGTCCATACAACAATTCCTCTCACACAATTAAACTCCCTCAACTTTCCTCAACCCAACTTGATGACATATCAACTCCGATCACTACCACCGAAATAGAATCCACCATTAAAACACTTCCTCTTAACAAGTCTCCAGGAAAATGACGGTTATATAAACGAGTACTACAAACAATCTGCCCCTAACCTATCGCCATATCTGACTAACTCTTCAACCATGTGCGGCCACCACCTGGCACATTCCCCAACGGACAATGCTACAATCAACAATAACCAC